TTCTCGGTAGTGGATGCACACTGCTGATGAGTCCCAAATACTGGACGAGACGGCCGTCCAGTGCTTTCTGCATTCTGTTGAGGTTTCTTCTAGATACGATGAATTACTTAAATATATATATATATATATATATATATATATATATATATATATATATATATATATATATAATTATGTAAATTATATATATATATATATATATATATATATATATATATATATATGGCCTTGGGATTGCGTTCAAGGGAGACTAGACACACTGGGAGGAAACGAGGAAATACGATTAAAATATAATTTAGTGTTGTAAAATGGAAGAGAAAAAAATAAAAGTGGGGAAAATGGCAAAAAACAGAATAAATAGTTCCACTGAATTTAAACGGGAAAATATAGACTCACAAGCCTGCCAGGAAAGAAAGAGAACAAATAAATTTCTCTTTCTCTCGACACAAAGACGTTTGGTGCAATTTAATGTATACTGCCTAGCGTGTATATGCTTTGCCGGCAGTCAGTTATATGCCATACGTGATACACGATTTGGCGATCATGTATCTTTCGATTCATGACAGATTTTTCCCGCAGTAGGTTGCCATTTCTTTCTGCGGTAGACCAGTTGCCATCCAAGTTTATAGAACCTGATCTGTCCTGCTATTTACCCATAGCTAGGGGAGAAGAAGAGGATTCATACCTTTCCTAAGAACATTAGCGCGTAAGTGAATATAATGGATTTGACTGAAATTTGAACTCGGTACTCCGATTTCTCAATCCAAACCGCTATCCATTACTCCAATGTTCTTTCCTGCCCCACCATCCCTCTACCGTGCCTTCCTGATCTACCATCCCTCCACCGTACCGACAGTACTTTGCCCAATATAGAAAACCACGAATCCGTGTATTTATAAGCGCAATCTGGATTACCTATAAGGAATCCAATCGCGGAATTACCAATCGCGGAATCCTGTGCTGTCTGCGTCAGACGTCTATTACGGGTACTAATACCCTATCTGATATTGTCAGACACATGTGCAAGTCAAGGTAAACTATGGAAGATGGTAAGTGATCTAATGTAATACCTAATAAATGAAAGTCAATAAATGTTGTTAAAAACCTATTCAAAATGTAATAATTATGCCAATGCTTCATCTAATATATTCACACAACAGACTATCGTGAAAGTAGACTTAGTTAAGATGCCTCCATCGGGATGTATACATTTGAAAATTTTCAGCATGTGAAGTTGTTTAACTTTTTCTCCACTAGTGATGAACCAGATTTTAATCCAACCATTTTTCATCCTAGCCAGACACTTCCTATCGAACACACACGTGTCACACACCCACACCGACTCAAAAACGAAAAATCATCATTGTGCAAACTAGGTCAAAACCACACACAATTGTGTATATATATTGATAACCTGTAGCAAATTCCAAAAACCAAGAAATACAAAGCAGATTCTTTAAAGGAAATGTTCGAAAATTAGATTTTGCTGTTCGTAAAGGAGTTTGGCTTTTAGATTAGAATATCAGTTTATTGTCGATTTCTATACGATTTATAGTTGGAAAAGTCCTACAATCTATTTTTAAGGAAAAATTTTAGTACGACTATTTTTTTATGCAAGTTTTATTTGAAAAATAATGTTACATAAAAAAATAAAAAAAAATGTTTCGGCTTTAAATAACCCAAAATGGGTTGATAATCCATAAAACAAATCAATCAAACTACAGTTTCCGGTTTCTTTAATATCTGAAAATTATAATGACATGACTATTTACCAAGAGAACAGTCTACCATGCTATTTTACTCATAGCTTGAGGAATAAGAGATGAGTTCATGCCTTTCCAAATGCATAAATGCAAAGTGAACTGTCTCAGCCAGAATCTGAACACTTCTCCCAATTCCATTTTCCACATTTTGTCAATTCTCAAAAATTTTACGAAATTAAGCCAACCTCGGGGAATTACAGAAATATAAGGGAAGTGAACCTAGCCAGACTTTGTATAAGAAAAACAAACATATATCACCTATCAACATTTAAAAACGAGGAAATCAAAACTGTGTATGTATTGATAACCTGTAGCAAAATTTTCCAAACACAAGCCAAGTACTACAGAGCAGATAGTCTAAAGAAAATGTTTACGAATACTAAACCAAGTGAGATTTTGCAGTTCATAAAGGAGATTGGTCTTTATAGTAAAATATTACTTTACAATCTATTTCTTTACGATTGATATTTGGAGAAGTCCAATCTATTTTTAAGGAAAAAGTTTGTTACAACTCATCTTTATGCAAGTTGTATCTGGAAAATCAGTGTTACATAATTTATGCTTATTCCCAATATTGTAATATAATATTAATTTGTAAAAGAATTATTCTTACAATATTAAAAATACGTGTCGGCTTTAAATAACATACACAGGGCTGATAAACTGTAAAAGAAAATCAATCAATCAAACAATCAACCCCACCAGTTTTCAAATCAAGGTTGCAAACTGGAGACCTTAATATTTAAGGGGAATAGAAAAAAATAAATGAATTCCAAAGTGATTATATACCGTAAACCTGAAAAGGATAAAGAATTATGAGTCGAAACGTAATTTTAAAAACAGCAAATATTAAAATAAAAGAAAACTATATGGAAAAGTATTTATTTCACTTAAAAAAAAACCCTACTATAATCTGCTTGTAAAAGTTACTGGTGTTGTGTACTAGGTGCTTACTAGGGTAACTGTGTTAAAAGAAAACTCAATAATCTCATTCGTTGTACTTTTTAAAAAGAGAAAATGAAGTTTGAATTCGAGATAATCAGTTCGCTCTTCTTCGAACACCACTGGCGAACATCTTTTCTTGCAAGTTAAAATGTTTAAACATCAAACCTTTCGGACCCCCAGCCAAGTACTTGCTCTTCTAAGCGACAAATCACTGAGATTTGTTTTTATTTCCGCAAATAATTGCATAGAAATTCGTTTCTAAAAGATAGTAACATAAAAATGGCAAAGAAAAAGTTTAAAAGAAAAGCGCTCTACTCTCCCGTAAATAGATAAGAACGCCTTATCAGGTACGACAAGCAATTATTGTACCCTAGAGATCCACGTCACTTCAGTTTCCTGCAATTATATACAACTCTCTTTTTTTACATTGCTTCATGCTTGAATTGTCACTAGAAAAACATCGAAGGACAAAGTTTCTGAACAATTTTTCCAAAGCGTTTATTAAATTCGTCAGAGTAGCAGGAGTTGCAGTTTAACGCTGTTTTATAAGACTGATAGAAACGTTAGAGTAATTTTTGTTCAGTGTTAGAGAAATATTAGAAGTGTCTGTGAAGATCTTTAATGCTTGTGCAATCAGTTAACTGTAGTTGAAAGCCCGAGAAAAAATTTGCAATAAGGAAAAAAATAGTTCCACATCAATGTACAGAAGCCAACATCAGTGAGCGAATAAACACATATCTTTATCTTATTGCTCGATAATAAATAAAACAAAAGCAACGAAAAAAATAATTAAAAATAAGCAAACAAAAAACAAACAACAAACAATAAACACAAAACCAAATTATGCTGTACCGCTGTGAAGTAAATTACAAGTAAGAAACAGAAGCTTCAGGTAACTTTGAATATTGCTGTTACATCTGGTCTGGTGCTCCTGCTATGTATTTACAGATTCTTGATAAAATCCAAAGATGAGTCTACAGTATTATTAGTTCTGATCTGGCACCTCGGCTTCAGTCAGTTTTCCACCGCCACAAAGTAGATTCCCTGTGCCTTTTCTAGAAATACTTTCAAGGTAATTGTTCTAATGATCTTCCCTCTATGGCACCTAGACTTTATGAATTTAAGCGTAGTACTAGATTAGCGGCAATATCTCATCATATTATATTTGAAATGGCTAGATGTAACCGTAAGTTCTATGCTAACAGTTTCTTCTATTGCACTTCTCTCTTATAGAACATTCTTCTGGCTTCCTGATTTCCAATCAAGTTTGATCTTCAAAAATTTAAATTCAATGTCAATGGTTATCTTCTGTCTTCTTAATTTCTGTTCTTTTATTGTTCTCTCTGCTTGATAGTCTTTTTCCTCATATTCTCTAACACTTATTAACCCCTTGTGCCTTAGTGGCTTTGTTGCCTTGGTTGGGATGAAATGTTTAAAAAAACAAAATAAAACAAAACAAAACAAACAAACAAACAAACAAAAAAAAAAACAGAAAAAAAACGCAAAACAACTTGATGGCTGAAATAGTTACATATTTCCAAGTGGTCCGTTTTTGAACTTAGGGAAAAATAAAGATTTTAAACGCCAGTTTTCAATGCAGGCAGGTAGATTCTCCCTAATTTTCTGTGAGATACTCTCCTTTCGATCTTCCTCTATGTGTCATGTCCCTTCCAGATGTAGGCAGTCATGGCACCCCATAGCTTCCTGCACTTTGTTTCTATCAGTAACGTTTCCTGTTTTATGACCCCTTTTTCTCTTTGGGGTACTTGAAGTACTATCTATTTCTACAAACACTTCGGCTACTTTTTCGGTATGTCCTCTGAGTGTTGAATTCTCCAAGACTTTTCCCCTTATTGCCCAAATTGTTCATCTGTCGCTTAACAATAGTTTGTTTGTAGATCCTTAGAACTTCCTCATTTCTCACATACCCTGTCCATGGTATTCTAAACATTCATCGGTTAAACTAAATCTCATTTGAGTAAAGTTTTGTTTTACGTTTGTGATGAAATATTCAAGCTTTCACTACTACATAGCCCGTAGATAGCACATAGCAGTCCATACAGCCATATAGTCCTTCTTTTCTTACTTTCCTCAATTAGCTCGTCTAATAGTTATTTCATTTTTGCTTCTAAATTTGCACAGTGTCATGTACGTAGTGTATGTTGTTAAGGTTGTTCCGTTGATAACAAATATTGGTAAGTTTTCTAATACTCACAGAATTCTCCAATCCTGATAAATATGAAAAAAGAGTTTTTATTTTTTGACATATATTGATATGTTTTCTTTCCATAGAAATTACCGCCTCCCGGTCTCTTTTCATCCCGTTTGCCACAAGGACAACTTGACTGTATGGCCCACCCTTCGTACGCCTACCCGGAAGAATGTACCTATACAGCAATGCATGGTTTGCTACCCATTCACCAAGTCTCACCTCCTGGAAGTTTCACCAGGACCAGAACTCACATACCAGTTGAAAATTGGTAGCAGTCTAGGGGAGCAGTTGCTAAGATATTTCACAATTTTGAACGCAACCATCATCGAACAGGAATTGACTATTATTGGTTTTGGATAGAAAAAGATTTCGATCATTTATAAAATCAGAAACATTTCACATTGCATAAAACAGGTATTTTAAAAAAATACAATTTTGCACTTATAAAAATACCTGTGCGTTATACACACGAAGAAGAGTTTTGGCATTACTTGAAGCAAGCAAAAGTCTAGTTACCATAGACAGAATTTCCTGAGACTCTAAAAATTAAGAATTTTTAGATTTCGAAGATTCCAATATTAGTCGCTTTGTTTAATCTTCAATTTTCCTAACAATGTTACATTTTGTGAATTAAATGTTTTTTCTATTAAGAAATTTGAAGAGTTTCGCTTTTTTTTTCATGCATTTTAGCTTAAATTAAGATGCACATTATAATGATTATAATGAATTTTAAAAGACGAGACCAGTTTCATAGAGTAATCATGCTTAAAGGATATGTTTAATTTTTGGAGACAAAAAAGCAATCTATAATGACAATTACATCAAATCTTTTTAGAAAAGTATGGGAGAATATAAAATGTAAAGAGATTAAGTTCAGCATATTGCTAATTAGAGCGGCAAAATTGGGTCGAAATCTAAAACACATGAAAATCCATCTTGACAACAGCAAATCAAAAATACTCATAAAACCGGTATTTCATGCGGTACAAATTGATTTTAAATACCATGTCCCTTCAGTATGTAGGGTATGAAGACATTTCAAAATTCCTTTCTTTTTTTATCAGTTGCCATGGCTTCTTGGAAAAGGTAGTGGAATCTTAAGAATGTCCTTTCTTCCACCCTTGAGTAGAAAGTACCCACCACCCTGATGTTTAACTCATAGCAGAGGGGAGATGAAATGAACTTTCCATTGGACATTAATGCAAAGCAAACGCAACATACTAGGACAGAATTTAAACTTGGCATATCGATTCCATTTTCTGCGCCGAGAACCGTTACATTAACCACATCTCCATGAAATCGAATACATTATTAGATTGGCTAGATTTACAAGAGAAAAAGACACAGTAAACGCATCGAAATCTATCTAGATAATAAACAAATCACGAATATTCATAAGCCCGACATTTTATAAGGTACACTCAAATACATTACATTATACAGAAAACGATTCGACGCACCTCTCCTTACATTCGTATCGACAATGAAAGATCATGAAATACTGGGAAACTTGACACATAATATGAGACAAGTTAATGACTTGAATTTCATAAGAAGGAAACCACAGTTATTTTAGAAGACTGGCTCTGCAAACAACATTGAGTGATGAATGATTTAAGGGTTTAAAAGTAACTGCTGTTATTTCGTGGTAATTCAATAGTAACGAAACTGAATGTAATTCAGGGTTTCTTAACCTGGGCGATATCGCCCAACGGCGATGAACAACTGAACAGAAAATGGTGGACAATTGGAAATTATGTTAAGTGATAAAGGATCTTGAGTATTAAAAAGATATTTCAACAATTGCTACCCCACCAGAAAAATCAGGTAAGAGAAGACCAAGAACAACAAAAACATTCGCTGAATTTATATTAGTTGCTAATAGTGTATATTCTTTTTAATTTTAATTTTATAATTATGAATAAAACTCGTTTAATTTTTTGTCAACAATTGCAACGCTAACCCTAACAATAAAACTAACCTTAACTATAAAACTCTATATATAGTTTTCAATGGTCAAGTTTTTATTCATTTATTCTGTCATACGGTAGTGGCAGAAGTAGTCGTCGCATAAGTCAGCGTTATACGTTACATCTGGTATTTTTTCTACATCATACATTTTACTACAGTCACTTTCCTGGAGGTTGATATTAGCCATGCAGATGAAAGACTGAGAAGGGTCTCTCAGATGATTAATAGAGTGCAGTTTAGTTTTGAAGGCGTTAAAATTGACAAGCCATGTTTTGCCTCCAGTTAATGACAGTCGTGAGGTTGTTTTGTACATCAGCTGCCATTTTGTCCTTGTCTGACTGATCGGCCTTACTTACCGAGGCAGGAATAAATGGTAGTGTCGTCAGTATAGATGGCAAGTTGAGAGCTGATGTCATTGGGAAGGTCGTTAATGAAAAATAAAAACATTATAGGACCAAGGATGGAACCCTGGGGAACACCTGCGTTAGTATGAATGGATCTAGACGGTTGACTGTTCAGGATAACTTTCATTTCACGATTTAAGAGAAAAGACTGGATCAACTAAAAAATATGCTCGAAGATACCATAACTTTTCAACTTGCAGAGAAGACCTGAATGCTAGACACAATCAAAGGCTTTCGAGATGTCCAGTGCCCGGGCTTCACTATTTTTATCTACAGCATGAGTGACTCTTTCCAAAATTTTTGTCAGTACAGTAGCCGTATTGCTTATCTGGGAAAGGCCCTGCGATGAGAGAATATGAACTAATTCAGCAATTATTGGGGTCTCTAACAGTTTCCCAAAAAGAGACAGAAGGCTAATAGGCCGATAGTTGGATGGATCGGACACTTCATCAGAGTTCTTAAAAACTGGAACTACTGACGTCATTGTCTGTTGTTCCAGTTTTTAAGAAAGCGGGAAAGCAGGAGGCAGTGAGACATTTATTATAGAGAGTTTAGAGAGAACAGGAGCCAGTTCGGGAGGAGTACACTTCTTAATGATTATTACAGGGATACCATCGGGTTCACATGATTTGTGGGGATCTAGGTTAGTGATGATAGCAGAAACCATGGAAAGTATTATATCATTCAACAGAGATTCAGTTCTAAGTGGGAAGTTAGGCAAGAATACTCCAAATGAACCAAACTTAGAGTTTGAGGAGAATTTATGAGCAAAGCTTTCAGCTTTATTAGCAGAGGATGATAAATTGATTAAAGAAAGGGGAATAGAGACCTTGCACTTATTTAGTACCCTATTACAGAGCCGCCAGTAATCACGAGAGCCAAAGTTGTTAGAGCTTATGCGGTGCTTCATTCTCTCGGTAAAGAGGGACTTAGCTTTTTCGAGGACTCGTTAACATTTGTTACGAACAGTAGCGAATAGGCAACTGGTATGACGAGAGCTGTAACGTTTGTATAACCTGAAATAGTTGTTCCTGTGTGCTATGGTGGCCGAGCTCGCTGATGTGAACAATGGAGAGTATTGGGGTTTCACCTGGTATTTCGGAGAAGGGATGAAAGAGCCCATCCCGGCTTTGATCCAAGAAGAAACCAGTGGCGCAATTTTCCATTGGGGGTTGAAGATGTCGGTCCAAGAAGCGTCATGAAGAACATTCCGGAATGAGTACCAATCAGCATGCTGGTAACGGAAAGAGATCTTATGGATAGGGGGTTCCTGTTTAATAGAGGCAGTGTGGCCCAAGTTACCAAAAGGGCAGTATTGCGAAGATCGGCAAGAGCGAGAAGAAGTAAGAAATAGACCCAATAAAGAAGCATGTGGCTAGCGAAACGAGTGGGGAAGCCCAAAATTTGACTGAGAGATTGGGCAATGGAAAAATTTAATGTTTGCAAAACCGGCAACATCAGTATCTTTGGAATTTCAACTATGTGTAAGGTTGTGCATTAAAGTTACCAAAGACAATGATGTTCGCAGATGGATGGAGAGAAAAGTGCCTTTTCTATACTGTCAGATATTGTGTCTAATATACTGTAGTTCTGGGAAGAGGGTGGGGGCAATAAAGGAAAAAGAGATTAGTTTAGAGATTAGTAGCGAAAGACGGAAGCTCATGAAAGCGTAGTCAGCAACCTCGAGAGCAGATTATCCTGGATGTCATCACCAAAGCCATGCATGTGAATGCTGGAATCTTTTCGGCAAAGGAGAAGATAACCTGGAACCAAGAATTCATTGGTAGCAATGGAAGAATTCAAGTTTGTTTCACGAGGGTCAAGGATATCAAGCGACCGTTCCAGGAGAAAAGATTCTAAGCTGCAGAAGTTGGATCAGATACCGTGAATATTGGAGAAAGAAAACTGAGGTGGGGTGGCAATGGGTAGGTGATTTTTTTGTTCGCTGGTTTAGTTGTATTTTTTTGTTGTTTTCCATAAGTTTTGAGGAGAGAGAAATAAAGACCATCATAATTGTCACTATCTTTCGTCCCTGACATGCAAACCAGCCAGCGCGTGGACGAGAGCAGAGCATAACGTGGCCTTAGGGTTGTCCACCAGAAATCCATGTAGGGTCACCTACCCATGGGCGACATGGCACTAAAGATACCCTGATGTTGATCGGAGCAGTCACAAACTTTTAATAAACAATTTTGGTATGCTTTTGAATATTTAATATACAGAGAAAATGGGCGATGACGCAAAAATGGTTGGGAACCGCTGATGTGGCAAAACTATGTCGCTGTAGCTGAATTTTTAAATAAAAATAAATCTCATCTATGTACGTTTTTAAAAGACCTAAGCTTAAATCGCCTTAAAGAAGAGCAGAACTGAAATTGGGCGAGGGTTTCTTATTTTTATATGAAACGCGCCCACATCACTTCAGTATTACAGTATTATGGACATTTCGACATGGTGTAATTGTTAGCAAACTTGACTCGCTTGGTCAATTACGACTGACTAGAGAGAGAGAGAGAGAGAGAGGGGGGTCCTCACCGAGTGTTCCATAATTGAGGCCTTGTACCATGTTTATGTTATGCTTAAATTAATAAATAGATAAAGATAAGAATTAGTCTACTAGATAACACAACATTGTACATAAGACATGGGAAATGTTTTGAAGTCTTTATTTTTTGACAAGGACATTTATATACCATCAAATAGTATAATTCGTTCATGACTTTTAAAGACAATTCACCACCAACATAGAAAACAGGTGAAATAATTTTATTTTCACTCTTCTTCAGTTAGCCATGAAAAGTATCACAGATATTGTATTAAAGGTGGGGCACCTTGCT